TCTTGTGGAACGAGAAAAAAGAATTAATTTATTCCAACAAAATAAAGATTACTCTGTTTTTCTGCTGACCACTCAAGTAGGTGGTGTTGGCTTAACTTTAACTGCAGCAACTAGAGTGGTCATTTTTGACCCTAGCTGGAACCCTGCAACTGATGCTCAAGCTGTGGATAGAGCTCACCGAATTGGACAAAGAGAAAATGTTGTGGTTTATAGGCTAATCACTTGTGGGACTGTAGAGGAGAAAATATACAGAAGACAGGTTTTCAAGGACTCATTAATAAGACAAACCACTGGTGATAGGAAGAACCCTTTCCGGTATTTTAGTAAACAAGAATTGAGAGAGCTCTTCACCATCGAGGATTTTCAGAACTCTGTGACCCAGCTCCAGCTTCAGTTTCTGCATGCTGCTCAGAGGAAATCTGATGAGAAACTGGATGAACATATTGCCTACCTGCACTCTTTGGGGATAGCTGGAATCTCAGACCATGATCTGATGTACACACACGATCTTTCAGTTAAAGAAGAGCTTGATGTGATAGAAGAATCTCACTATATTCAACAAAGGGTTGAGAAAGCTCAATTTCTTGTTGAACGTGAGTCTCAAAATACAGAGCTCTTAATGGCAAGACAAAGAACTGGACACGAGGGGGCCTGGCCAAGAGAACCTGCATTTCCTTCTCAAACAAAGAAGAAATGCCCTGAATCGAATAAACCACGGCCTCAGCCTTCACCTCTTATAACTACTCACCAGACCCAGGAGGAAGAAATCAGTTCCCAAATGGCAAGTGTAATCATTGATGATCTGCCCGAGGACAGCGAGGAACAGGATCTTTCTGGTTTGAAGGTGAACGTTACCGTCCCGCAAGATGGCAGGCACCCACACGAAAGTACACTTGATGATGACGTATTAGCTGCTTTACCCACAGGCTGTGGAAGTAGAGAAGAAATTTGGACTGACTCTTTGTCGGGAGTGGCTCTACAAAAAGAGGCATTGCAAGAGGGGCCGACACAGGAGGCACTGCAAGAGAACCCTCTGGGGAATTCGAGTTATTTACTTAGCAAATCTGTCAGAGTTGATCTTGGGCCAAATCTAGATGAACTAAAGGATGATGTGATTTTACATCACAGTAGTCCCTGGCCCATGAATCCCATAACAAATGAAAATCAAAACACGGAATCGAATGTATCTGTTATTCAAATAGCTGATGACGACTTGTCAGCATCCCACAGCGCACTGCAGGATGCTCAAGCCTATGAGGCCACATTGGAAGAGGAACCTCCAGTGTCTTCAGCACAGTATATGTGTGATTTCAATCTTTTCTTGGAAGACTCTGCAGGCAGTAGACAAAATCTTTCCAGTCTGTCTTTGGAGCTTGTTGAGAAAGAAAGCAGCTCGTGTGGCTCTGCAACTAATTCCAGAGCAGAGTTCGAGCACAGCAAAGCATGTGTCAGTATGGGTCTTCCTGAGAAAGATGATGAGCTAGAAGAAGTAGTTAACGTGAGAGTCAGAAGGAAAGCCAGAAGGATTGTTTCAGACAGTGAAGGTGAAGACGATACTTTTCAGGAGACTTCAAGCACAGATCCATTCAACACATCTCCCTTTCAGGTCCTACCTGTAAAAGAATTTGATGCTTCGACTCCCAAAAATGACAATCCACCTGGAAGGTTTTTTTCCCCTAAAATACTTGATAGTGTAAACAAGTCCATAAACTGTAGGAGATCCCTGGCTTCTAGGATGTCTCTCATTAATGTGGTTTTAGACCACGTAGAAGACATGGAGGAAGGACTTGACAGCAGCAGTGAAGCCGAAGACTGGCAGGAAGATAGAACAGAGGGAAGCAGTGACGAAGCCCCAGCATGTACAGAAGAGGAACCTTCCAGAGAAGCCCTGCCTTCAGAAAGTAAGTCCAGCTGCTTTGCTGCACCCAAGCCTGGAGCTCCAGCTCAAGAGGCCTCCCCTGGTGACCCCGAGCCTGTGTCTGGTGGACACTTGGCTGACTGTCAGGATAAGGCAACTGAGGCTGCGGACGACTATGAGACTCTTGTGATGCGTGGAAAAGCCCTGAAAGAGTGTGGGAAAACCCAGGAAGCCTTAGCCTGCTTAGTTAAAGCACTCGACATAAAAAGTGCAGATCCTGAAGTCATGCTCATGACTTTAAGTTTGTATAAGCAACTTAATACAACCTGAGAATATCCTGTTTTATTGTATTTTAAAGTGAAACAGTATGAGATAATGTGTTCTCATAACTGCATTTTTGGGGTGCATGAAGCATTCAGGCTTACAGTGAGAGAGATCTCAACGGGCCAGTTTTTGTTTAAACCTTTTGTAAGTTCTGCCTTTACTCCCTGTTCCTGCCTTCCCCCAAGAAATGTACATGCTGGTATTCTGAGCACTAGGTTAATGTTACTTCACTCCAGTATTCTCATATTTTTCTTCTAAGCATACTCTGTAAACTTAATAGAACTATGTTATTTGTAGAGAATGTTTTGTAAAATTATTCTGGCCATTCTTAGTTTTATTCTGAAAATGATCACTTTTGTATATGACAGTTCAGATAAGATTATTAAAGTTACTTTTCTCTACTGTTTCCCATTCACTTTCTTTCACTGAGATGACACTGGCAGCTGCATATAGAAACTCCTTTGTTGAGGCAGGGGCTGCATTAGTATTCCAAATCTAAGACCTGCTGGTTAACACGCAGAAGGCTGGGTGCCAGGCCTCTGTCACTGGTACCCTACCCTCGAGTCCCTGCCAACCACTCAGTCATTCTTCCCTCACCAGCGTGTTCTGATGTGCTAGCATTGTACGAGTATCTTCTGGTTGTAGACTGAAGAGCAGTTTGGTTCCCTCTCAGAAACAAAGTACAATACAGCACACTGTGCGCTCAGTCACTGGAGAAGGGGAACTAACACCAAGAACCTACTATGTGCTGGCTATACTACATAGTTTCTCCTTTAATCCTTGTCATAATCTTTTTTTTTAAGATTTTATTGGGGAATTGGGGAAGGGGAACAGCCAAGTTGTTGTCCTTCAGTCTTAGTTGTGGAGGACACAGCTAGCTCACCTCTAAGTCTAGTCGCCATCCGGCTGCCCGTTGGCAGCTCGTGGCTGCTCAGCTCAAGGTGCTGTGTTCAATCTTAGTTGCAGGGGGTGCAGCCACCATCCCATGTGGGAGTCGAACCGGAAATCTTGTTGCTAAGTGTGCACGCTCTAACCACTGAGCCATCCGGTTGCCCGTCGGAAGCTCAGCTGAAGGTGCCTTGTCCAATCTTACTTGCTTGTGGGTGTAGCCCACCATCACATGCGGGAGTCGAACCTGCAGCCTTGTTGTTAGGAGCACATGCTCTCACCAGCTGAGCCATCCTGCCACCTGTTGGCAGCTCAGCAGCAGCTCACTGGCCCATGTGGGAATCCAACTGGTGACTCTGTGACTGAGAGCTCACGCTCTTAACCAACTGAGCCACTCGGCTGGCCTATTACTAATATTTTAGGGTAATGTGATTATGTATCCTGAAAAAAAATCTTGTTGGTAACACTGATTCAGCAATTCAAACTCTGCATTCCTGTCCAGCTCAACGTTTCCCTACGTGGCTGAATGGCTATGCCCTACGTCTTTGTTTTTCAGTCCACTCCATCATGCATACAAATGTTAGTGGAAATTCAGCTAAGTTCCCCTCTCCCCGATATATAAAAAAAGACTTAGCCCCACATGTACACGGTGAAACATTCAAACAGTATCTACGGCAGGGGTTTTTAAACGGAAGTTCACAGAATTCAGATGTCTGAGTGTAGGCAGCAAACTAGAGGAGCAGTACCTGTGACATTGTCAGCAACCAGATTTCAAATCTGGTCAGAAACCAGATTTCAGTCTGCAGCCATGTCAAAATACCACTGCAGCTCATAACCACACGTTCAAGGTGCTTTTTAGACCTACCACTAGATCTTAATATAGTAACAAAGACGTGTGTGTATATATATATATATATATATATATACATATATGTATATATATATATATATGACAATTTAAAACTATTTTGAAGACTCCATTTCAGCATAATTGGAGTCCTTTGTAATCCTATATATTTTATTGGCTTAAAATCAACATGCTGAGAAGGGAGCCACAGGCCTGGGCAAACTGCCTAAGGGCTCCATGGCACTCAACAGATGAGTAGCCCTGATCGAAGGGTATGAGGTAGAAAGTCCCCTATCTGCCCCACCCCCAGCTCTGGATTGCCATTTCCAGACAGTCCATGTATCTATAAGCACCAGTGTGTGTGTGTGTGTGTGTGTGTATGTGTGTGTGTGTGTGTCAGTTTACCGAAATGATAGTATACTACATACACTATATACACTGTAGGCTTCTATTAATGGACATTCAGTCTGTTTCCAACTGACACTGGTACTGCCAAATTGTTCTCCACAGAGGTTAGAATAATATACATTTCCACCATTGATGAATGAAGGCCTGTTTTCCCATACCCTCACCAACAACATGCTAAACGTTTTGAACTGTGCCAATGTGATAGGTCAATGTGGGACCTTGTTTTGGTTTTCATTTGCAGTTATCCTACTACGAATGAAGTTTGTTCTTTAAGCATTGAACTTAATGAAAAAGATGCAGTTTCAAACAAAAGTGACTGCATATGCCATGGATGTAAATGTGTATAAATCCTTCATTGCTTCATTTGCCAGGTCCTTCAGAACCCCAGCCAACTTCCCAAAGGTGTGTGTGGTGTCGGAGGCCCTTTCCTGCCCTCTGTTCTCACAAGCTAGCTGTAACCGGCCTCCATGCCACAGAGGTTAGTTTGCTTTTTCTAGCACTCCAGCTTCCTTCCTTTGTGGGTGACACACACAAAAGGCATTCACTTAGTATGCTGGGTGAGCCAATGACCTGAACACGGGACCACAGCAGGTAGCGCACCTGCAAACTCAGGGACAGAGTTTATAAAACAGGATGATCCAACACCTTTTCAAGAAATAAGCAAGATGCCTACAATAGTCAGTCTTTCAAAGTATTTTATTTTCTCCCTTCAACCATAATAATATGATATCCGAACTTCGTCTTCACTGGAGGGTCTGTAAACACGGGCTTGTCCAGCCCGCTGACAGGCAAGGCAAAGGCTGCTTCCTGAAATGGTCCCACCATGGACCCTCTGGTCATCCAACCCAAGTCGCCCTGGAAAACCCAAAAGACACGTGATGTCAAGTGGGCCTGAAGAGGGAACAGTCCTACCATAGCTCGAGCATTTCCCAACCTGAATGTCTAGGTTCCTAGGTTTATTCATCTGGGCTGTAAAGACCTGGTGACAAGGACCCTGCACTGAACCCAGGTGCATTCATAATGTTACCTGTGCAAGTTTGCTCATGCCTAGGTTTACACACAGGTGACCCATATTCAACTGTTTACTTTTAAGATCTTTAAACCACGACCTGGCTCAAATTAATGGCAAAACCTAGAAATAACCCCCACTGCTGTTTGAAATGGGAACAGCACTTACCCCTTGCCTGGCTTTGTCTTCACTATATTGTGTGGCCACTTCATTGAATCTCATTCCAGACTTTAACTTTTCCATGGCTTCCATGATTTTTCCATGTTTTTCACACAGAATGTGTCTGACCTACAAGGCAAAAGTACATTCACATAATATTTGGAGATCCAATTGATTCATTTCCTCCCAGTACATCACTTGTGTCTGGGTTACCCTCAGCAGTGAACAATTACATTAGCTCATGGCAATGGAAAATCCTAGAAGTCAGTGACCACAAACCCATTTTCCATATCAAGACAATAGCTTGGGACCCTGATTTAGATGGAATATGGGCACCCGGCTGTGGGAAGCTCCCATCTTTTACCAGGTGCCTCAGTGCTAACAGCAAACATGACAGTGGTTGAGATTTGGGGTCCTGGAGTCAAATCCCAACTCTGCTGTGTGATCTTAGACATGTTTTTAAACCTAAGTGTTTTCCCATTTGTGCACGGAGATAGTAACAGCCTGTGTGTTCTCATAGGGCTGTGAAGATTCAGATAAAGCACCCAGCACTTAGTAATGGCTGTTATTTCCTCAGAGCAGGGATGATATGAAAAAACCCTCCAGGAAACACTTGTTACCAAAAGAGGCCCCATGTATAAAGCCTCCCCATAATTCAACACTGAAAATGTATCTTATCTTGAACATTAAGAATATTCAACCCCAGGGCCGGCCGAGTGGCGCGATGGTTAAGAACTCGCTTGGGATGCCAGAGGGCCCCGGTTCGGATCCCACATATGAGGGCCAGTGACACTGCCCTCTACAGCTAAGATGCTGAACAACAGCTCAACCTGGAGCTGGGCTGCCGTGAGTCGCCGGCGACGGCGTGGGCTGCAGTCCCTGTGGCAGTGGATTGCCATGGGCTACCGTGTGTGGCCAGCAGCCAGCGTGAGCGGCCAGCAGCCGCAGTGAGCGGCCGTCCAGAAGCCGGCGACTGATCTGCCTCGCCAGAGAAGAGCGCAATGATGGTGCCAACTTGGGCCAGTGAAGCAACGTCCTCCACAACTAGACTGAAGAACAAAACGACAGCAACTTGTCTGTTCCCCTTTCCCCAATTCCCCAGCACTGTTCCCATCCCCCCAATTTCCCAATAAAAATCTTTAAAAAAAAATAAATAAAAAAAAAAAAGAATATTCAACCCCATAGAAGCATTCAAAGTTGACCTATGTTTACATAAAGCGATGTTTAAAAAAATCACTATATCTGGGCCGGCCAAGCGACTCGGTTGAGCAACAGGGTCACTGGTTTGATTTCCACATGGGCCAGTGAGCTGCACCTGAGCTGAGCTGCTGCTGAGCTGCCAACAGGTGGCAGGATGGCTCAGCTGGTGAGAGCACGTGCTCCCAACAACAAGGCTGCCAGTTCCACTCCCGCATGGGATGGTGGCTACGCCCACCCACAGCTGAGATTGAACACGGCACCTTGAGCTGAGTGGCCACATGGCAACTGGACTTGGAGCTGAGCTAGCTGCACCCTCCACAACTAAAGACTGAAGGACAACAACTTGGCTGTTCCCCTTCCCCAATTCCCCAACACTGTTCCGCTTCCCCAATAAAATCTTTTAAAAAAATCACTATATCCTTAAGTTGATCTTGTCAAGGTATCTGTTTTGCAGAATTTCCTATTTCTTATGCAAACAGAATCTGTTATTCCATATTGTAGGTGATACACTGGGGTGGTGGCTAAAGGTGTCTTCCTTATAAATTCAGAGATAAGTAAACCAAGGTTGTCCTCAGGGTTCAACTACTGAAATTGGGGGCGAGGGGATCTTAGGCCCACAGCAGTAACTTCCTGACAGCAAAGGAAAGGATGGGTCATCCTTTCATTTTAAGGGTAATAAATTCCCAAAGCCACTTCTCTTCGGGGCAGCTGCTCTCTCCATCTTGATAGTGATGGTCCTCTAATAAATCTGCTTGCTTGGCTTACTCAGGGCGTCCTTGAATTCTTTCCTGTGACACAAACATCAAGAACCCGTTTTCCGACAACACTATGGCACTTCCATTTGATGGAACACTGCTCAGCAATACAAAGGTACAGACTAGTGACTGATACATGCGACAACTGGAACACAACCTCCAGAGAAAAGCCAATCCCAAAAGGTTACATACTGTATCATTTGATTCACGTAACATCCTTGAAATTATAAAATGACAGAAATGGAAGACAGATTAGTTGCTGCCAGGGGTTAAAGGAGGGGGTAGGGGTAGGGGTGGGAGGGAAGTGCCAACATGGAAGGTGAAAGCTGCGTGTAGCCGAAATGACCCTCCACCATCCCTTATGGAGATGCCATACTGAGGACTAACATGCCAGCCCTCATTACTCTCGTAAGCCCAATAAACACTTCTTCAGCTGAACGGCAGATGAAGTAGCTGGTTTGCATTTGGAGGACCAGGTGCTCAGGTGAGAACAGAGGTCAACTATGGAAAAGCAGCTCCATGTCTCCCATCTCCCATTGTCTGGGGCACAGGTTCACCAAGGAGAAGGTGGGCAGAAAGGCCCACACTATTTACATGATCGCGCTCTCTCCCTCTCTTTTTTGGCCACATGTATGGTTGGGTTTAAATGATACGATTCCACTACTGCACGTATCATCCAGCGATGGGATGTGTTTCTTTCCTGAACTTCTCCCAACTAGACTGATAACAGGAACTATCTCCTATCTCTCTTTTATTTTTATAATACCCAGATCTTAGTACACTGCTTATCACAGGGCAGATGTCCCTAAATCCTTACTGAGTGCATGAATCTGAGTATGGGATCCCATATCCTGACTGAAACATGGAGACTGCCTGTTTCATAGCACTGAGTAATACAGTTCTGTTTGCAGATTCTCTTTTCCCAGGGCAGACGCTCCTCTGGGATAGGGTCAAGCCCTTCAAGTAACTGTATGCAATTGTCTCATGCCCATGTTCATAGTCAGGGTCCTGGCTTGTAGCTCACTGGCATGGGAGCTATCTACTGAGACCTGTGCCTTGGCCTGTTTACCGAAGCTCTGGGTTTTATAGAATATTTTGTACTGAGAAAGAATTTATTCACGTACTGGGAAGACCTAATGTAATACATTTGAAGAAACAATACTAAAGTATGAAGAAATTCTGGATATTTGAGAAAAGCATTGGAAAAGTATTTCTGAAGGAATTACTTTTCATACATGAGATTGGTGTAGATTTTCCAATTCTGTGTTATCTTGATTTTACATCAATATTAGGCTAGCCTCTTAGAATGAGTTAAGCATACTGTCTTTTGCTTTTGCACGTACCAACATAACACATGTATATATGCTTTTTATATTTAACATGAAAAAAGAAACTAGTAACTCACCTTTACTGAATTGCCACCACCTTTGGGACCCTGAGATTTCTTGTCAGAGCTGTCACTCCCAGAGGCGGCTCCCCCTTTAGAGAAGAGATGACAGGTACTCATTTAAACTGCACCTTGATATTTACAGAAAGGGCCAACACAACAAGAGTTGATAGTTCGGTCACAGCACCAAGCTTCAAAAGGGGACTCTGCTGGACCCTTTACTACATGAAGCTGAATTAAGCTCTGACTCACCGCTCTTACAACAGCAAATGTGTGCCCCACATACACCCTTCACAGGAAAATACACACTGGGGAGTATGCTAATAGTTGACAGCACCACACACCTGGTCCAGCGTCTCTGGATCCAATCTGAAATCTGCCTTCTAAGGGCAAACCCCTGAGCTCTTATAAGATTTCTAACAGGCACTCAGCTGTGTATTTGAGTACTCACCATTCCACGAACATAGTTTAAGTAAAGATGCAATTCCCCACCACCCCTATTTGGCTAAAGTATACATTCATGTGCAAGCTTCCGGAGTCTACTATTGAGTTGTTGGAAAAGTCGTGACGCATTTTTGCAACGAAAAACAGAAAAAATACGTCATGACTTTTCCGGCAACCCAATACATTGCCTATTGATACACTCCCACGAAAAGTCATCAATATTCAGATTAATAACCAGGGGCAGCGACTTACATTCTACCAGTATGTCATTTTACTACCATGTCAACTTCTGTGTCATTGGCAGCATACTTAGTTAGAGGCTGATGTCCCTAAGAACTATTGCTGGGTTGAGGGTTCAGGTCAATCAACATTTCCTAAGTAACTGCTAAGGTCCAGGCCCAAGGAATACGAAGATGAACAAGCCATGGTCCCTTCTTTCAGGGAGCTCACATGCTCCCGGGGAAGAAGGGTATGTACAGGTATTTAGGAGAATGGACAGGGGGCTGTGCAAGCACAGAGGGACATTACAGGCAGTCAGGGAAGGTTTCCTGGCTGAACAGGCGCTGACCAGATGTCGAACATGGGTGAGGAGACACTCTGGGTCGGGGCACAGTGGTATGTGTGGGAGACTTTGGATGAAGTCAAATTTGAGGTGGGAGTGCTGTGACATGAGCCCGGGGGAGGTGGCTGAGAGCCTTTGGGCCCCATTAAGAAACTTGGAATTTATGCTAGCAGTCATAGGGAGCCACTGAAAAGTTTTGATCAGGAGGCTCCATCTTACTCATCTTCGTATCGCCAGTGCCTGGCATAGTGCCTGGCATAGTGTCTGGCACACAACTGACAACCCCAAATACTGTACTGACTACCGAAGGCCTAAGAAAATGTCACTGCTGGGCCGGCCGAGTGGCTCAGTTGGTTAAGAGCTCGCTCAAGAGTTTGAGCTCTGAGCAACAGCGGTTCGAGTCCAGCCCGAGCTGAGCAGCCGCTGAGCTGCCAACAGGTAGCAGGATGGCTCAGCTAAAAAAAAAAAAAAAGAAAATGTCACTGCTAAAGGGGATTACAGCAAACTCTTACGTGGGTTGCTGTATGTCCACTTTGTAACAGTGATGCCTTCCAGTGAGTCTCTAGCTACAACTTTCTCGCCTCATTCCCACAACTCCGGCTCTTTGTCTTTACAGGAACCGCCCCCACCTCTGTCCCTTTATCCTGCTATGTTCCCTACACTGTCAGATATCTTCCCTCCGGTCTGGACCCCATGCTTGATCATCTGAACTGTGTTCCCACTGGCACCCTAACTCCCTTGTGTTGTTCTCCTCCTATTATCACTGTCCAACAAAACCTCCACCCTAACTCTTTCCAATCCTATACTGTAACAGTTGCACGGGACTAGGTATATCATGATTGTGCAGAACGTGACCCCCAGAAATCCACGGCCTTCCCGCTTAGGCTCTCAGCGCTCAGGGCAATGCTTTCAACAGTATTTCACTCCCTCTCTCATCACCTCGATGACTATTCCAAACCTTTACCACTCTGAAGACTCCTACTCAGTCCCGGCCTCTCAGCCTTAGAAATTACCGGTGCCTTCCACTTTACTAACAAATCGAGGCCATTAAGTATGATCTCCTACAAACCCCACCCCTTCTCCCTCTCTGGCCCCAGTTTTTACAACGATACTCATCCTCGTCTCTACCCCTGCGACCTCAAGCATCAGTTGTCCATTCTACTCAGAGTTCAACTGCTCCACCTCTGTACTGGGTCCCATTTACCCCTAAATCTCACTCCTTTCTAACTCTAGTGGATCCTTCAGGTCACCCACCCTCCCCAGTTTTACCCATTCAGAAGAAACAAACAAAACTTTCCCTTAGTCCTTTGTTCTTGTGTAGCTACCATGTAATTTCCATGTTTCTCCAATTAAAGCTTTCCAGGGAAGTCCGCACTGACTGTCCAATTTATCACTTCCGGGTCAGTCACTGGCCACCCGCTGCCTCCAACCAGGACCCCGGGGGTCGCCAGTCTGCTCCCTCCCCTAGCCCCTCACCCGACCCCATTCTCCCCGGCTGCTCTGGCCGCTGTACCTTTTCCCCCTTTCCCAGAACCGCTTTTTCCTTTAGGCGGCATCCTCGAAACCTGCCGTTGAACTCTTAAGTGTACCGATTGCTGTACAAAGCCCCTTCAGGCCCCATGGGCCTGTCCTAAATAAATGCCTGAGCCCAGCATGGCAGTTGACCGTTTTTTCTGCGGCTCCGGAAGCAGGCACATCTTGGGGCAGACCCAGTCCTTTGGCTCTCGGCCCGATGGGCTGAAGATGTCTGACTAATGAGAAGCTTGGGCCGGGCAGAAGGGCGGAGTCAAGGGCACAGCGAGGCCGGAAGCCCCGCCCCTGCGCTTTTTGTTACTTCTTTCACTCGGGGGCGTTGACGCGTTATCCCCTGCTCCCTGTCTCCCCCGTCGCGCGTGCGTGGTGGAAGCCATGGGCATCTGCAGTCCCTCGGCTCGGCCTCTAGCCAGTCCCGGGGGGGGGCCGCCAGACAAAGGAAAAGCAGGAAGACCAGTGGTGGCTGCCCCTCCTACACACAAGCCCGCCCTCCTTTGCGGTTTTTCATGCTTAAATTTTATTTTGCAGCTGTAGTTGGTTGAGTTCAAAAGGTAGTTCTTAAAAAAGGCGATAACCCCTCTGCCTCTTGGAGAACTCTTGTCATGGATTAAAACTGGAAGCAGTCTGAATGTCCCTCAGTAGGGTATTGCTTAAATAAATAATGTTTCAACCACAGAAAAAGATATATGCCATTTAAAATACCGAGTGGAAAACCGTCTGTACAGACATGGGAAATGGCCTCAAGGAAGGTTACAGACCAAGCTGTAGAATATGATTCCACTTTTTAAAAGTATATAGTGTGCTATATAATATAGGATGGGAAAGCTGCTCAGCAAAATGTGACCAGTGGTGCTAGTACACAATGGGTTTGTTTCTGTGTATTTCCCCAAATTTCTCTGATGGTGTGTACCTTTACATAGTAGGTTAAAAACACAGGTTCTGGCGCTGGCCCAGTGGCACGTTGCTTAGAGCAGCAGGGCCCCGGTTCAGATCCCTCATGAGGGTCAGTGACACTGCCCTCTCTACAGCTAAGATGGTGAAAAACAGCTCGACCTGGAGCTGGGCTGCCATGAGTCTCCGGCAACGGCGACTCATGCAGTGGGGCTGGCTGGCAGCGGGCGTGAGCTGCCGTGAGCTGCTGTCCAATGGCCCGAGCAACTGCCTCACCTGGGAAGAGCACAATGATAATACCAACTTGGGCCGGTGAAGCGACGTCCTCCACAACTAGACTGAAGAACAAAAGGACAGCAACTTGTCTGTTCTCCTTCCCCGATTCCCCAATGCTGTTCCTCTCCCCCCAATTCCCCAATAAAATCTAATAAACCAAAAAACCCCCACAGGTTCTAGAGTTAGATCACCCGGCTTCAAATCTCTGCTCCACCTTCTGGCTACTATTGGGTTGTCGGATAAGTCATGATGCATGTTTGCGACAGATGGCACTAGTTCATTTTTGGAAGTACTACAGTCATTTGCATCTATGTTATTGCTATGTCATTTGACAGCTGACAGCTCTAGCTTCATTCTAAAAAAAAATTGAGTGATTTGGTTGAGTTTTGGAGATTTTACAAGTTGAAGATGGAAGACCAAACTGTGCATTTTTGCCATATTTTACTGTTTTACTTCCATAAAGGGAAGAACGCACGTCAAGCTTGTGAAAAGTTACATAAAGTTTACGGTGACAATGATTGACAAGAATGTCAGTGCCAACGATGGTTCACGAAATTCCATGCTGGTGATTTTTATCTCAACGATGCTCCTCTGTCAGGGAGGCCCACCAAGGTTGAGGACGACAAAATAAAGGAATTGATAGAGTCAAACCCACGTTACACGACACGAGAGAGTGCAGAAACATTGAACAGCCATCATTCAAATGTTCACGACCACCTGAAGAAGCTGGGATACATAAGCAAGCTCGATATTTGGGTTCTGCGTGAACTCAAAGAAGTTCATTTGACGGTGCGTAAAAACATCTGCAATATGCCCATTAAACGTGAGGAAACTATCCCTTTTTTTAAAAAAAAGATTTTTATTGGGGAATTGGAACAGTGCTGGGGAATTGGGGGAAGGGGAACAGACAAGTTGCTTTCGTTTTGTTCTTCAGTCTAGTTGTGGAGGACGTTGCTTCACTGGCCCAAGTTGGCACCATCATTGCGCTCTTCCCGGGCGAGGCAGATCAGTTACCGGCTTCTGGACGGCCGCTCACTGTGGCTGATGGCCACTCACGCTGGATGCTGGCTACACACAGTAGCCCATGGCAACCCATTGCAGTGGGGGTTGCAGCCTATGCTGTCCCCGGCGACTCATGGCAGCCCAGCTCCAGGTTGAGCTGTTGTTCAGCATGTTAGCTGTAGAGGGCAGTGTCACTGGCCCTCATATGTGGGATCCGAACCGGGGTCCTCTGGCGTCCCAAGCCAGCTCTTAACCAATGCACTACTTGTCCGGCCCTATCCCTTTTTTTTTTTAAAGATTTTATTGGGGAATTGGGGGAGGGGAACAGCACTGGGGAATTGGGGGAAGGGGAACAGACAAGTTGCTGTCCTTTTGTTCTTCAGTCTAGTTGTGGAAGACGTTGCTTCACTGGCCCATGTTGGTATGATCATTGTGCTCTTCCCAGGTGAGGCAGATCGGTCTCCGGCCTCTGGACGGCCACTCACGGTGGCTCTTGGCAGCTCACACTAGCTGCCAGCCGCTCACGCTGGCTGCCAGCCACACACGGTAGCTCACGACAGCCCACTGCCGCAGGGGCTGCAGCCTACGCTGTCGCTGGCGACTCATGGCAGCCCAGCTCCAGGTCGAGCTGTTGTTCACCATGTTAGCTGTAGAGGGCAGTGTCACTGGCCCCATGTGGGATCCGAACCGGGGCCCTGCTGCTCAGAGCTGGCGTCCCAAGCCACCTTTTAACCAACGCGCCACTCGGCCAGCCCCAAAACTATCCTTTTTAGAAGCAACTGATAACTGGTGATGAGAAGTGGATTGTTTACAACAATGTGGTGCGCAAACGGTCTTGGTCCCAACGTGATGATTCGCCTCAAACGACATTGAAAGCAGACATTCATCAGAGGAAGGTTATGCTCTCAGTGTAGTGGGATTTTAAAGGTGTGGTGTTTTTCGAGCTCCTACCAAGGAACGAAACAATCAATTCGAATGTGTACTGTTGGCAATTGAACAGTTTGAACGAATCCATCTTCCAGAACCGTCCAGAGCTTGTTAATTGTAAAGGAGTTGTGTTCCATCGCGACAACGCGAGACCACACACAAGTCTGATCACCCATCAAAAATTATTGGAGCTTGGATGGGATGTGTTGCCACACCCACCATACTTGCCTGACCTTGCGCCATCAGACTTCCACTTGTTCCGCTCCTTGCATGGTATAACATTCAATTCAGGTGAGGCTGTAAATCAGCACCTTGTTCAGTTTTTCGCAAATAAAGACAGGTCCTTCTATGGATGAGGAATTATGAAGCTCACTGAAAGATGGCAAAAGGTTATCGAACAAAACAGGCAATATATCATTGATTGGTCTTTGTCCTTTATATAAATAAATGACCTTTGAAAAACATAGACAAAATACGTCATGACTTTTCCGATAACCTAATAGTTCTGTGACCTTGAGGAATTTGCCTCACCTATTTGGCTCAGTTTCATCATCTGTAAAATGGATTTGATGATAACAGTACCTACTTACAAGGTATTGAAAGAATTAAACAAGTTCATATTTGTAAAGCACATAAAACAATGACTAGCTCCTAGATTGTTAGCTTAAAATGAATGAGTTTTGAATTTGTGTCCCCACACTTTCTCCCCTTACTGCAACCCCTCCCCCATCAATTTATATATAAGGTCAGGGCTTTTCCTCCACTCCACAGAATAGCTGTTCCTGATCCCTCTGCCAGCCAGGGCCTAGGAGGTGGTCCCGCTCAGAGTTTAGTTTCAGGATACGGCCTTGCTGGACGTAGGATGCTCAGTGCTCAGACTGTAGATCAAGTGTTTTGGAGCCCGTGCCCACCTCCAGCTCAGACACAACAAACAGCCCTGCCTCATGTCATGCTGTTGTGACTTCTGGACACAGCGTACCTTTTTTCAGATAGGGAGTGATCAACTGTGGGAGCGCACCCAGCGTGGAGGGGATCATTGCTCCTCCACTTCCGAGGTGGAGCACACCAGCCCCGTGTACTGATTTGCCAAGTCCAGCTGGGAGATGGGGGGTGGGCTCTAATAGTGACAGTGTGGCCTCATGTCATTGGCTCATTCACAGCCAGGAGGGTCAGGGGCACCTTTACTTTTGGGTTTCCATAGGAAACAGGCTTTCCGGCAACCGCTGGCTATGGCAGTCTGTGAGTGGGACTGGAACACCATTCAGGTCCTAGTGAAGAGCCAGCGTGAAATGGCTGATGTGCCTGGCAAATGCTTAGTGCCTGGAACATTGTGAGAGCTCTGTGCATTCCAGCAGATAACAGCAACAGCAATAGGCAAGCCTGGGCAAGTGGCTGAATTTGCCCAAAGCGGTGCCTAAAGGCCGGGACCTCAAAGGAGAAAGGGATAGGCATAAGACTGCCGGGGGATTCAAAGGCAAAGCACTTGAAAGACACATACAAAATCAGGTTCGATCTCAACTATGTGATGCGGGGTTATGCATCACAGAAAGATAGGGAGGGAAATATGAAATCTTAAGTATCAGTTCTGGAATATGAGTTTATGGCCGATTTTCCTTTTTTTCTGCTTATATCAAGTAGCATGTATTTTTTTTCAAGAAAAAAAGGCAATAAGCATTATTTGTAAAACAGGCAACAAATAAGCTAGTTTGTACACAGTGATTAATCTGCACCAGTCTGTGGAGGAGTGTGTGGAGCCCTGATGAATGAACAGAAGAGCAGAGAGGAGACTTCAGCCTTGAAACCATGGCAGCGACTGTGGGAGTGAGTGTGCAGTGAGCAGAGCCAGGACCGCCTGCCACTTGTATTTTCTGCTCATTACCTACTCCGACTGATTCTCCCACGCAAGGAAAAGCAGGAAGGGAAGCTCCACAAGCAGCTGCTGTTCCTTTCCCCTTTGAGAGCCCAGCACAGCTTATTCTGAAAGGAGAGCTTGAAGCAACTACACAGAGGCCTCGTTTATCCCATT